CTGTCAGCATTCAGCAAATATGCATTTATATCATTTAAACAAATCTTTGAATGACTAATCAGCATTTAATTTCACAAACCTTGCAAACTTAGTTGGATCCAGCTGTGAGATCTTGTGAAGTGTGCATTTGTATCCTGCATGATCGCGTGTTCTCTGTGTGACGGTTGGTCTGTGTGAATTGAATGCTGACAGGAGGAGAGTTCAGCTTGACTGGAGACGTGCGATCGACAAACTTTAAACTCGTGATTTCAAATTATGCTGCGTTTTATGCATTTGCCCACTGCCATATTCATGTAATTTCCACTGTGTATAAAATGAGTGTTACCTTGGCTTTATTTGAAAAAATATGATTCCCAATGCACACAAACTTCCCAGAATAGAGAATGGGAATCTGCGTCGGATTCCGCCATGTTTTAGGTCACGCTCAGGAGCACACAGTGTAAACACATGCAAATCACCACAGAAAAAGCAGACCGTTTACTATTAATATTTTTTGGAAAACCATCTAACATACTCTTAGAATAAGACGGACTAATATGTAAATTTCTTTTTTTAAAAAATGTAAAAAAAAAAATTCACTCTGTGGTTTGTCTGAGAGGCTGCTAATATTCATTATTCAGTCTCCTTCACTACAGTGGTACTGGATTACGTTTCCATATATGATTTTCTTCTATTTGTGGTGTGAGGGCTTACAGTTTAATGCAAACCACTGCATATAATAAATCTACAGAGATCAATTATTAAGACACGTTATTTGAGTTGTTTACCATACCGAGTTTCAGTGTAACTTTCATGTAAAATGTAGACATTTTATATTATTTTATGTTTATATGATTCAACTTAAGATCGCGTTGGAATGATTAACGCTTACTGTATCAACATAGCGTTAATCAAAAGCAGAGGTATTTAATGCAGACATTGACAAGGGCTATAGCATAGCCCTTATCAATGTCTGCAGGCAATACCTCTGCTTTTTCAGCTTTCTATCGCTGAAAAAAGCATGTTTTTCACACCGGCCTTGCAAAGGGCTATGGCAAATGACGTGAAGTGAGTCTTAGCCACTCCAACATGAGCTTAAGTAGAATAATATAAACATTAAATAATATTAAACGTCTACATTCACTATTATCCAGTCTCCGCTGTAGCTTCCGTGACCTAAATTCCCAGAATGCATTGCCACTGTGACGACACATTCCCATTCTCTATACTGAGTGTCCTGTTGGTTACAGTGTTTACTTCCTTTTTAATTATATTTTCATTAAATATTTATTTATCTGTGATATACTTTATCATCTAAAGTACAAGTATGTTTATTTAGCATAATTATTTTTTAATCCCTTTTCAAATGATTTCAAATTTCTTAAATATCAATTAAAATAACTACAATTATATCAGCTTTATATCAGTCATCGGCAACCCTGCTTTCCAAGATATCGGCATCAGCTGTCAAAAAACCAATATCGGTCGGTGAATTAATTATAATGCTGAAGGTGAGGTCAGTGAATCACCACACGCGCTCGCTCTTTCCCTCTCAAAATACGCAAATCACCACATCGCGTCTGTCTATAAGCGAGCTGCACAGTTGACACAGGAATTGTCACTTGCACAATCGAAGCACAGTCACTAAATTGTATAAATTGCATTTCTTTTTAATTATTGCCAGTGTTATACCATTCATCGCTCGCGCGCTCTCCTGGAGACCGTGCGCTCATGCACACTCGCAGTGCACACACATAATGCCAGGTTCACATTACTCCGTTTGCAGTGCATACATGTTGCGGTCCGACAGTGCGTTCCAGGAGTGGATTGTTTCCGCACCGAGTCTATTGCTGCGCTGCAAGTGAAGAATTAAAATAACAGCGCATTGTTTGCAGTAAATATGAACATGGATTGACACAAATTTAGTAATTACACCATAAATGCATATTATTAAAGTCTACTGTGTTTCACAGTCAACAAATATTGCTTTTTGGCTAGGTTTAAAGGGAAAGAGCACTTTTAGATAAAGAAGGCAAAAATAAATGGCACTCGTGGAGGTAAGAAAACAAAGTTCTTTATGAACCACAGAATTGCTTGTAATAAAGATTTAAATGCAAAAGGAAAGGCAGTAGAGCTGACTATTTCTGTCAATTGTAAGTTTGTGATAATGTAAGAAGTAGTTTAAATGTTTTGCCACTTGCTTGAGCAACTTAATATATAAATCTAGAAGTAAATGCAAAAGTAAATTAAAAAAAAATGTAATAAAAAAAAGCATTGAATAATGTGTTGCTTATATTTGTGTTTAAACAGGTCTGTAAAAGATTGTATTACTGTTCTGTGTAAAAAAAAGAATCACAATGCTGAAAAAGCATTTTCAGTGACAATGTTTGGATTTGAAATCAAAATAATGGATAAATGTGTTTGTAGTAAACAGCCACGGATCAGTAGCAGACTCCTGTGTGAAAGCAGTCCGTCCTGTTTCCCCTCTCACAAGAGTCACCTAAGAGGGGAATTCGCCCCTATTTTCAAAAATGAAATTCAGGCCCTGAATAAATGTCTAAAAATCTTGATTAGAGTATCACTATAAATAGTTATAAATTATAAAAAGAAGGCTTTAAAAAGATCGGTATTGGTGATCCGAATCAGCAGATACTGCTTTCTGTGATCAGCCTCAAAAATCATGATTGGAGCACCCCTACCTTGATGTCAAATAAAATAAATAAATTACACAAAGTTTAAATAAAGTAAAAATCAGCAAACACCGTGGAAGAGGCGCTTTTGCATTTCGTTTCGAAACTAAATCATCCTCCATCGTCTTGTCTGTCTCACCCCACTCTTCTTGTCAGTCAGCTCTCCTCACTCTCCTCACTGGATAAATGAAATCTGATCCGTGATGCAACTGTCGTTCGGCACGCTGCATTGAGCAGCCGCGTTCAGTTTTTAATTGTAGTGTCTGTCCTTTCACTGAACTAAATTATTTTTATTACTATAAAAAAAATCAAAACGACAGTGGGGGTCGATGCCGCAGTGGGCAAGTGACGTAACCAGTGTTGCGGCTTAACGACGGTATCACCGTCAGCACCGTCTATCGCGGCAAGCCTACTCTACAGTTGTTATTATTCTACCTGAATTAATTGAAACAATGTAAGAATTTGATGTGAAAGATGACACATACATTTAATAACATTAAGAAAAAAAATGCTCATTTATAAACAGTGGGAAATTCCATCTCTTCCGTTATACACAGCAATTCATTTCTACCTCTTTCCAGTCACAGAGCACATTATTTTGAGAGTTTAAGTGAGAGAGCATCTGTAACTTAGTCCAGATTGGGGGAAATTGTAAGTGTGTGTGTGTGTGCGTGCGTGCGTGACAGAGTGAGAGAGAGAGTAACATCAAAGTGGAGTCAGCTGTCTTAACCGTGACTTGTGTACTGCACACATACCAGCTTCATCACTGTGTCTGTCACGCGACTCTGTTCCCCTTTCGGGCTCTGTCTTTACATTTATTTTGAAAGATGAAGCTCGCGATTATGGTAAGGGGCGTTACATTTTCGACGAGTGCTTGCGGTGTTCGCCCAATCACAATGCACTGGGTCAGCTGGCCAATCAGAGCAAACTGCACTTGTCGGAAGGAGGGACTTTGTAGAAAACGAAGCGTTTGAGAGAGGCGGGGCATAGAGGACTGACAATAATGTACAGTATTTGAAAAATAATGTGTTTTTTGAACATTAAAGCATGTCAACATTCTTTTACACCAAAAACACAAAATAATGATCTTTAAAAAAGCATCAATATGACCCCTTTAATAATTAATTTTATTACGTAAAGACATTTTTGTATTGAAGAAAAATATTTTTGTTTGTATATGCGGTCAATTATAATTCTTGGAAAGAAAATCGGAATTAGCAGGTCAAACTCGGAATCGGCCAAGAAAATTGCAATCTCTAGTTAGTTTTATCTCTATAGCAACAGCAATAAAAGACTGCATCATCTTATGACAGCACATCTGAGACAGTATATTGATAGGATGTCAGTTTCTATAGATCATACATGCCCTTTGACACACCTTCCAATTATCTTTGCTAAACACAATCACAATCTAGTCAGATGTTAAACGTCACCAGTCACACACCTGTAAAAATGGAAATCACAGAACTTGAAAGATTACAATGGCAGCACAAACCCAAACATGTCATCATTCAGGAAACTACTCAAAGTGGATCAATTTTCACATTACGCTACTTCCATAATCTCACATGAGCTTTTTATGAACTAGATCAGGGGTTTCAAACTGGGGTCTTGGGACCCAAAAGGGAGTACAATGGAGGTCCATGGAAAGCTTTAGAGAAATAAAGTGTAAAAAAAAAACAAACAAACAAAAACATGTAAATATAAAGATTTATAAAATTGTTTACTAAATTAGTGCGATATTTTGCCCCAGAAATAATTGCGATAAGCGATATTATTGTCATTTTAAAGAATTGTCATTTTATGCCACTGAATATATAATCATAATGTAACAGCATAATAATGCAAGAAGGCCTACACACTTCCAATGACAACAAACTTTTAATTTTTAAGAATATTTAGATCATGGAAATTAAGTATCAAAATATTAGATACCTTAAGAAACCTGAATAAATAGTAAATAAACATTTTTTAACAAAAAGTGCACAGTAGAAAAAAAGAAAAATGCACAAAGAACTTGTATGGAGATTTTTCCATCTACAGATTTTTCCCGGACCTTCTTTTCTCTGTAAATTAAAGATGCACACTATTGCTGAAAAACACAATCACTACTTGGCAGTCAGATGTCCGTACGCACAAAGGCACAGATCCTTAAACAAGACCATATCTGCAGATGAAACTTTGTTTGTAGAAGCGTTTTTTTAATTTTGAACTAGCACCTCATGACTATACCACGTTATGTACGAGAAGCTGCAAAAGACACAGGCGCAAGTGGAATGTAAAAACATGGTGACATTCATTTTTAAGTAAATATAATGTGCGATATATTGCGTCACCAAAAATGATTGAGGTCATGTACATATATTGTGCGATAAGTCGATATATTGATTATTGCGACAGGCCTAAACTAAATAAATATTTTTTTAATAAATTTAAAATATCTAACACACACACACATACAATACCTCTAAATACAGTACTATTATGAAAATGAAAAAAGGTGTTATAATGTAAAGTACTATAAACTATTTTACATAAATATTCTTTCACAGTATAAACTGGGTTTTATATGCAAAGATTTTAGGATGGGAGATGCTTTCGATTCGAGGATGACCACATTTAAACCCTACTGTATACCCCTTGATGTATACTCTGCATAAGCCCTATATAGCCCTATTATGGTCTATTATAGTGATCTATCACCTTTGCAAACTACTGAAGCCTGGCAATTAATAAATGAATGACAATTCTGAAGGTCAACTCAGCCACAGAAAACAACTAAAATACTGACTTGTCAGACTAAACAGGTGCAGATCACAGATGTGAGTGACTGTCAAATTTAGTTACATTACTACAAATGAAAACTGTTTAAAGTGTTCAGTGCACTGTGAGAGGACGACAGCTACACTTCAGAAAAGATGCGTATGAATATAAGAATACCCTCAGTAAACCAAATATAAAGTGTTTCTTTGTCAGGTATCTTTGAACAGCTCAATGACACCATCTTCAAGCTAAAACACGACTTTACACTGGCTGTGTCTCATCGATTCCCTACTTAGACAGCATGCTTGCGGTGCGTTTTGAAAGTTCAAACCCATTTTTGAACGTTTGACAACATTTTTGATTAACGTTACCCATGTTGTTTAAAATGCTGTCCAGGTAACGTTAGTCAGTTCACTAGGTTTTGAAAACCAACCACTTACTTAAACATAGACTGAAAGAAAGAGACACATAAACAATGTTTTTCATGGCTAAATTACCTAAAACCGATGTTCGATATGGTTTCTTATTCTTGTCTGTCTGTTACTAAGGTAATCTATGCTAAGCTAAGCTATCCGGGTAACGTTAACAGCCTGTGTTTTCTTCACTCAAGTTAAAATAAAACTTTCCTACCTTTGAACTGAGGAGCCTTGGGGCTAGTCTGCTGATAGCGAGGAAGGACATTGTTCTTGTATGTGTGTATAAATTTTACAAGTGGTTCTTTATCGACCCCTGCTTGAAGGTGCCCCTCTCGATACCGCGCTCACAATGACGGTTGAAAAGGGAGTCGGGCCCTGTTGTAGGCGCGGGTTGAGTCAGATAGGTCCTGGTGAGGACGGAACGGCTTCGCGCGTTTTGATTGGTTGAAAATGAAAAAATCTGATTTTGATTGGTGTAGCGTCTCATCGCGTTTTGACTTGATTGGCTCACGAATGGAACGCACATAAATTATTCAGACGTAGACGTTTCGGCTGTAGGTCGTACTTTAAACTGCCTGACTAGAAATAGAATGACAGATTGAGTATGCTCATGTAAAGTCACGTGTAATCAGTTAATTTTGTAGCTTCAATGCACCTTCGTATTTTCACAAATAAAAGGAATTAATCTCCAAATTATAATTGTATATTAATTTAATACCTTTAAAGATTTGAATTATGCTGCTTCTTGGCAATATCAGCTAGTCTTGTAAGTTATGTGCATTGTCCTGAAATGACTTGAAACTGCACAAGGATTTCAGACTTTATTGGGAAAGGGTCATTAAATACAAATATACAGGGGCTCAAGGACCTTCATTTCAGACTTCATGCTGCCTGTAACATTGTCATGGCTCTGGCAGGAAGGATTTTCTTGGACCTACAGCACAACAGAACATTCTGGGATATGTAACTTGCTTAGTTCCATCACAATGTCAACACACAAAACTTACAAGGTTTCTACATACACATTTCAGCAATACATGAAGGTCACAAAAATAAGTTCAATAAAATATTGATTTGGTGAATGAGAAAGTTGAAGGCAGGTGGGACGACTGAAATCTTGTGCTCTACGATTAGAAACTTTAAACTATCCTACTTATAATACATTTTATTGTCATTTTGCCTGACTTGTTTCCTCAAGCATTGTCTTCATAAGTTTTATGATGTTTAAAAATATGTCACTATGTCATGAGCTGGTGAACTTCTGGATAAAACCTGCATATACTGAGGAACACTGCCATTCAAAACTGTGGGGTCGGTAAGATTTTTTTATCTTCACTAAGGCTGCATTTATTTGGTCAAACATGCAGTAATATTGTGAAATAGTACTCTGATCTTAACAACTGATTAACCAAACTTTACCCTGGTTACAGACTTTTTTGTCAAAAATATAAATGAATGAAACCCTGCATAAAGAATCTTAAAGAAACATAAAAAAATACTAAATGCACAAACTGCCACATTCAAAACTGTAACATGAGTCAGTACTGAAAGGTTTGGTCACATAGTATTTGGCACATTTGATCTGTGAACATGAAATCTGCATATGCATGACAATGGCAACACAAAGAGTTGTTTGCCTGCTAACTAAAATATAGTTGCTCTCGGTGTGAAACTGCGCACAGCAGGGCTCGATGTTTATGAAGAGATATGATGTATGCTGGAGACCTTATGAGGCTTCTGTAAACAGCAGCATGCAGTGCGAGTCATTGATTTTGTAGTCTTACAGCAAGGACAGCCTGTGTACTTACACCACAATGATTTGGAGATGTTCAAAACTTCTTGTCTGGCACACAGTGTGCTTTGGGTCAACACACTCTATGCAATTTCTACATTTTTTTCATTAATTTCTTTTGCGTTTGGCACAGAGATTATGAAAGAATCAGAGTACACAGCACCATGCAGCCGGTTTGTCATGCATATAAAGAGCCAGGTTTAAATTACATTTTGCAGTTTACATTCAATCAAAACTTCCACAGTACAGGCTAGTGATAGATCAGATCTCGGGACATTTTTGAGATTATCATCCAATAATGATGTAAATTTGGCTGATTAACAGATGTGCTGGTTCGGTTTGGTGTCAATGTGTGAGAAACCATTTCTATTTCCAATTTTTTAAAACAAATATTGTGTAAAATAGGCATTAATTTCATGCCAGCAATCTCATTTGTGGCCCAGCATCATATTGTCCACCTTTCTAGATGATCTAGCATGAGATTCAGTGTTATTTAGTACTGTTTATATACTATTAGAGTATTTATTTATATTTTTGATAGCTTTTAATGTGTTTTAATTTTAATTTTAGTTCAAGTAGATTATTTCTAGTAATTTTAGAACTTCAACTTTAACTTTTATTTTATTTACATTAATTGCCAATGCAACATTTCTCATTTTCATTCAAGTTTTTAATCTAATATTTATTTTATTTCCGCTTTATTTCAATCAACAACAAAAAAACTATTTTATAGTAAATAGTTATAGTATAGTAATAGTTAAACAATAACACTGAATCGGTAAACCACTAGTATTTTCAACTTCACAATCCACAAAACATGTCTACAAATATCCATCTCTCACCACAGTATGGCGCTGCAACATCAAGGCTGATCAGCATGCATCTTTTGCCCATTTTACACATAAACTGCCTTAAGATGTTGATTGCATGGGGCCCTTAGTCATTATACTGTGTGTGATTTACTTGAAAACTGTATGAACCAGAGCAGTTGTGTTGCATCTTCCTGGACGCTCAGGAAGCATTTACTGTTGCAGTCTGAACAAAAAATAAATAAAACATTGGAAAATTGAGTTTGTGGTAAATAGCTGGTGAATTTGGTCCTCTTGATCTCCATTTTGCTCATTTTTCCTTTGGAGAACTAACGCATCCTGAAGTCAGACACCAGTACTGGGCACCTCTGAGGACCGAGAACGGACACAGTGGAAGAGATCACTCTTCCTCTTCATCCTCCTCCTCTTCCTCCTCTATGTTGAGGAAGGGGTCGTATTTGAGGCAGTTGTGGAGGTAGTGAAGGAGTGTGCGGTGCAGGTGTTGGTTGGTCCGCTCTTCTCTTAAAGTGTGGCCTTCGTCTGGGTACAGCTGAAGGGTGTAGTTGGCCTCTACCTTCACCAGACGACTCAACAACTCAGCGCTGTGCTGGAAATGTACCCGTGCTAAACACACAAACAAGTAAAACATGACTGGAAATCCCCAAATGATGTATGTGAAGGATTTATAATTCTGAAACTAACCGTCTGCAGTCCCGTGTATGAGAAGGAAGTTTTTATTTTTTAGCTTGTGAATGTCGTCCAACAAAGATGCAGCCTGCAAAGAAACAACATATTGGCATCTCAGTCATAATATAGAAGATTGTTTCTGAATGTAAAACAAAAAGGTAGTTGCAACTTTGTTTCTCATAAATGCTATTTTATTTCTTCCAAATGTGACCTTTTATCCAGTTATGGCTTTGTTTAACTGTAACTTTAAATGTCAAAATATGACTTAAAATCTCATAATTGTGTCTGTTTCTTGTAACTGTAACTTTGTCACAATGTAACTTTAATTTCACAACTGTGACTTTGTTTCTCATAATTTTGTGACAAAATGAATTTCTCACAACTATAACTTGTACCAGTAACTCAGAGTCTTAACTTTGATAAAGTATATCTCTTTGGTTTTGAGGCTTTAGTCTTTGCAACTTCAGGGATCTTATCTATGCACAATCAGCTTGTAACACTCCAAAGAGAAAGGAAAACTTGAAATCGCATCATATGACCCCTTTAATGTTTGATAATGAATGAAAAGGTTGATACAAAAGGTCTACCATGTACGAATGCTCCTCTTTATTTGGAAGGCCTAGATATCTTTCTGAGAAGGCAGCACCTGAAAAACAAGGTTGAATCCATTTTCACACATAAATGTGAAAAGAAACAGTAGTGCACTAGATAAAAATATTGTTCTGCCATGGTGTACGGAGCTGGAACTCACTATAGAGCTTGAAGTCTGTGATGGGAGCCATGACAGCAGCACATTTGAACATCTGATCGGTTGCTGTCAGCATCTTCAAACCTAAATAGCCACCAAGTCCCTGTGAGGTCAAAAGTAGGCTGATGTCAGAGCTCTGCAACTGAAGACTAAATTCAAAGTACATATCCTACGGTGACGCATTGCTGCCACACGCATATAATTTTTTCCACTCAATTATGTCGTAATAACGAGATGTTATGTCGTTAATACTACACAATTATCTCGTTAAAATGACATCTTTTCTCGTAATAACGAGATGTGTCGTAAAAACGATATAACTATCTCGTTAAAACGACATATTTTTCTCGTTAAAACAAAATTTTTTCTCGTAATAACGACATATGTCATAAAAACTATATGTTTTCTGTTATTATAGATATATGGTATATGTGAGCGAGCTAAGCTTTCGCCAGTCTGACATAAACGAGGATCTGCACGCTGCTGAAATGATTGAAATACACTGTTTTAAATGTGTTTTAATGTAATGGTTTTAATTGTAGTGGCATGTTTATTAGGATTAATCTCCAATCTGTCTACAATATAGTGCTATCCAATAACTGCACTCAGACCCATGACTTGTTTAGGCTATGATCAGATCAAAACAGTTATTTTTGAATAATCGACTCTGGGCTTAATATTTCTTTATTTGAATGACTGAAGTTTGAATTAACAACAAATCGAAATCCGAAATAAAAAGAAATAAAGACATTTTCTAATAGGCTAATAATAATAATAATAATAATAAAAATAATAATAATTATTATTATTAGCCTATTCTGTTTGGCAAACGGGCAACGAAAATTAAGCTAGATTTTTTTTGTTTTTTTTTGTTCATGGGTTAAAAAAAATGAGCTTGCTATTTGTGCGTGGGCGGCCCTAAAAACGCCACTTTTTCTCTCAGCCTGTCTTTACTGCCTATCCCATCACACAGAATAAGAGTTCATCTCATGTACCGCTCTGCAAATTAGTCACAATAACGTTTCTTCAAACTGTCTGGCTGTTGTATAGGCTATATTGCTTGCAAATATACATCTCATATAAAGCACAACAGTGTTCTTCTCAGCTCGGCGGTGCCGGTGCGATCCCTTGGGCTACAACAGAGGAAAGAAATGTCTGCTTTATTTTCGACTTCCACAATAACAACAAAACGTTACAAATTGCTTTTGTAAAATAACAGGGTGCGCTTTCTGGCGCACCTTGTTATGTCTAAAGGTCTACTTAAATAAAACAATCGAAAACAAATTTGTGTTTATTTGATTCGTATAGCCTAAATCCAACAAGAGGTACTGTACAGTCTTTCCCGTCTGAGCTCATCTGTATTTTGTGCTCACACCCAGGCACAGCGCAGCCTATTCCTTCAGTATAAAGCAAAGCCTGGAATTTTACCCATACGAAGAACGTGATGTGATGCGCGGCTTGATTCAGCTAAAGATATAATTTAATAATATATAATCACTAATACATAATTAATATATAATCAGACTAAAGTATCAAAGCTGCCCATGCATGTGAAACAAATATTAAAGCATAAGCTCATTTGTTTACCCACGAACAAAAATAGGCCTACGTAAAATCTAGCTTAATTTTCGTTTGCCAGTTTTCAAACAGAGCGAAATAATAATAATAATGATAATGATAATAATAATTATTATTATTATTAGCCTGTTACAAAATCTCTTTATTTCTTTATATTTCATATTTCGATTTGTTAAATCAAACTTCAGTCATTCCAATAAAGAAATATTTTGTTTTGATGTTTTGATCTGATCATAGCCTAAATGAGTCATGGGTCTGAGTGCAGTTATTGGATAGCACTATATTGTAGACAGATTGGAGATTAATCCTAATAAACATGCCGCTACAATTAAGACCAATACATTAAAATACATTTAAAACAGTGTATTTTAATCATTTCAGCCACGTGCAGATCCTCGTTTATGTCAGCCTGTGGCGACAGCAGCGCGGACAGTCGCTTAGCTCGCTCACATATACCATATATCTATAATAACGGGCAAACATATCGTTTTTATGACATAATATGTCGTTATTACGTGAAAAAATATGTCGTTTCAATGAGAAATTAGGTCAGTTTAACAAGATAATTATATCGTTTTTACGACATAAGATCTCGTTTTTACGAGAAAAGATGTCATTTTAACGAGAAAACATCTCGTTATTACGAGAAAAGATGTCGTTTTAACGTTTAAACTTTTCTCGTTAAAACGACATCTTTTCTCATAAAAACGAGATGTTATGTCATGTTATATTAACATGTTATGTCATTTAATTGAGTGGGGGAAAAAAATATGTGTGTGGCAGCAATGCGTCACCGTAATATCCAAAGTGAGAATATGATGCAAGTCTACAAAGGGATTTGTTTGCTAAGAAGATGTGTATTAAAGCAATAGGCCACAAGAGGCAGAGCATTAGATCCATTTGACCACTTTTAAGTCGTGTTATTTGAAATGATGCAATGCAAAAATCAGTTTAATGCAATGGCTAATGGTTTTTAGACACCAATGTTCAATAAACAATTACATTTATAATAGTAACTACAACTACATCACATTTTCTATTCTTAAGTAAATATGGGTGGAGCTTGCAGTATTAGAATGTTAGGGTCACTATGCAGTTGCTAAGGTGTTCAGAGGCCAGTTGCATAAACATAGCCACTATGTTAAGACGGTGTCTTCAGAACTAGTTTGACCATCAAGTAGCTAGCCACAAGAGGTAATCACACTTACATTTTGGGTTCAATTTATAACTGACTTAAAAAAGTTATGACCAGTCTTGAAAAAGAAAAAGACTAAGACTAGACTTAAGACTAGGCTAAGCAGTTTATGCATCTGGTCCCAGAGTGTTTTTTAACACATTACTAAGGTGCTATATATAAAATAGAGTGCAACAGTTGGGTCCTGAAAGTAAAAATTCCATTATTTTCTCAATAACTCGATAACGATAACTTACAAACCTTTTAATATAGACCTGTTGTGAGTTCTGAGGTTGTTATTTAATGGTATATGCTTTAGTTACATCCATCAGTTCACATTATTTCAATTTATTATATTATATACTATATATTATATATATTTTTAACAGTGAATTTACTGGTGAAAAACTACATTACCCATGATGCTGTGAGGAAAATTCCACCAATCAGAGTTGCGGCAAGCAAATTGCACCAAAAGAGCTCGGCAGGGAATGCCTACTCCCATAAATCACCTTGAATGATATAATCACACCAGTCTTGACGCACTCTCAAAATACTTAAAGGTTTGTATATATATATAGTTTTTACTTTTGTCTTTTTGTCCAATTTTCAAATACTCCTCTGCTTCAAATGAAAGTTTGTAATGTTTTGATTAACCTCGAAGCTGGTTGGTTTGGTTCATGGTTTTTAATGTTTTAAATTAATACTTTTTTAAAATCCCTACGGAAAAAAATACTTCCAGAGCCAACACCTTGGAAAAGTGGGCGGATACAGTTGCACTCAATAGATCATTAGCCTAACTGTAGGCTGTTTACAGTTTCCAACTTGCATAAATCAGCTATTTATTCAAATGTGACTCATTCAATCAGAAGTTTGAGTTTGAACATATATTTTACCTTTCCATAAACAGCTATTCTTCTCCCATCAATGTACGGCAACTGCATTAACCATCTGAAATAAAACATGCAAATTTCAGGTGGCATTTAGGAGTTATGATAAATGGCTGGCGTTTTATAATCAGCCAACATATTAACTCTGCGGAGACCTAAACATTGCTTTTTTGCCTGGAGCAAGAAATTTGAAAGAAAACCCAGCGTCTGCTTTAGAGTATAAAGCATTTCCTAATCAGATATTTTGTGGCGTAATGTGCAAAATTACTTTACTAATAGAGGTATTACTCTTAATAACTGAAAAGAGAGAACGACTCACTCCACGACTCCAAGCTTATCTTTAATGCGGAGGGAACTGAGCTTGCGAGGGTCCAGGGTGCTGCTTTTCTGTCCCTGCGAGACCCGGCTGCTGCTGTCGATCCAGGCCAGCGCCACTCCATGCAGGCTGGATAAAACCTCTGGCCAGCCCAGGGCAAACTCCTCCGTTACCGACTGCATCCCGGGAATACTGTCACTAAGGGTGCAGAGCATGGATGGGTTGAGGTGTTGACATATAATGTCACATTGTAGATTAAAAAGACATCAGCACACTGATCTTCATTCTGTAAATGTGTTCGCAATTGCTGAACACTTCTTGCATCTCAATCGAGCATGTGCAAATTGCTTATTAATAACGCAGCATTCATAAATCATGTAGCCTAACCAACTAAGGCGAGGGAGAGAAGAGTCCTAACTAGATTTGCATTTCCACAAGGAGATACCGCCGCTTGCAAGGCAAGAAATAAGTCTTAGGCAAGCTTAAGTTTTGGGCTTTGGTTTGGTGTGAGAATCAGAGCTGATTTGTCACTGTCAGGACACTCAGCACGCATCTTGTTTGCAACACTGACCATAGTACATACTGCCTACTATTTAAAAAATAGTGAGTAAAGTGTAGACATTAGCTCGATCATTAGCGTGAACGTTTCAAGCTGTAGCATGCTACATTCTTGTCACATGTATTAATTCAGCAAATCTTGGTTTCATTTTTAAAAAATAAATCTTTTTATTTCAATTTTGTGTAGAATTTGAAAGTTTAATCAAATAATGAGTCAAAAAAAAAGAGATCCATCATGATGGTTCATTCAACTTCTCATAATTGTGACTTTGTATCTCACAAATGTCAAAATTTGAAATTGTTGCTAATTTATTTCTCAAATTTGTTTCTTTATAATTCATATTTAAACCACACATTTGCAACTTTTATATCTCTCAATGCGACTTTACACACTACAGTTGAAAATTTTGGGTTCAAAAATTTTTTTTTTTTTAAGAAATTCATATTTTCACTCAGCAAGGATGCATTAAATTGATGAGACATCATGTGACACTGAAGACTTGAGTAATGATGCTGAAAATTCAGCTTTGCATCAAAGGAATAAATTACATTGTAAAAATATAAAACTAAAACTTAACTAAAATAGAAAACAGTTATTTTAAATTGTAATAACATATTAGAATAGAATTAGAATATTACTGTTTTATTGATCAAATAAATGCAGCCTTCACGAGCATAAGAGATTTCTTTCAAAAACATAAAAAAATCTTACCAAGGAATACTGTCACTAAGGGTGCAGAGCATGGATGGGTTGAGGTGTTGACATATAATGTCACATTGTAGATTAAAAAGACATCAGCACACTGATCTTCATTCTGTAAATGTGTTCGCAATTGCTGAACACTTCTTGCATCTCAATCGAGCATGTGCAAATTGCTTATTAATAACGCAGCATTCATAAATCATGTAGCCTAACCAACTAAGGCGAGGGAGAGAAGAGTCCTAACTAGATTTGCATTTCCACAAGGAGATACCGCCGCTTGCAAGGCAAGAAATAAGTCTTAGGCAAGCTTAAGTTTTGGGCTTTGGTTTGGTGTGAGAATCAGAGCTGATTTGTCACTGTCAGGACACTCAGCACGCATCTTGTTTGCAACACTGACCATAGTACATACTGCCTACTATTTAAAAAATAGTGAGTAAAGTGTAGACATTAGCTCGATCATTAGCGTGAACGTTTCAAGCTGTAGCATGCTACATTCTTGTCACATGTATTAATTCAGCAAATCTTGGTTTCATTTTTAAAAAATAAATCTTTTTATTTCAATTTTGTGTAGAATTTGAAAGTTTAATCAAATAATGAGTCAAAAAAAAAGAGATCCATCATGATGGTTCATTCAACTTCTCATAATTGTGACTTTGTATCTCACAAATGTCAAAATTTGAAATTGTTGCTAATTTATTTCTCAAATTTGTTTCTTTATAATTCATATTTAAACCACACATTTGCAACTTTTATATCTCTCAATGCGACTTTACACACTACAGTTGAAAATTTTGGGTTCAAAATTTTTTTTTTTTTAAGAAATTCATATTTTCACTCAGCAAGGATGCATTAAATTGATGAGACATCATGTGACACTGAAGACTTGAGTAATGATGCTGAAAATTCAGCTTTGCATCAAAGGAATAAATTACATTGTAAAAATATAAAACTAAAACTTAACTAAAATAGAAAACAGTTATTTTAAATTGTAATAACATATTAGAATAGAATTAGAATATTACTGTTTTATTGATCAAATAAATGCAGCCTTCACGAGCATAAGAGATTTCTTTCAAAAACATAAAAAAATCTTACCAACCTCAAACTGCTGAATTGTAGTGTCTCACACAACATGACTTTTTAGACACATTTTATCTCATAATTACCTGACTCATTTAAAAAAAAAAAGGGCTTCCATACAATACAATGCTGCCTTACTAACAGTATCATACAGGCACTGGTGAAGTGTGGGGAGACACTTACATGATAATAAGGAGAGGATGCAGGTTTCCTCCATACCCAGGAGGCAGGGACATCTTTAGATCTAGGTCTGTAATTATTCGCAAAGGCAGTTAAAACAGAACAAACGTCCGTTTCTACTGTATCATACTGCAAGGAAGTCTGGGTACCGACTCGTCAATATTCTAACCACTGGCAAATGAGCTCCCATGAGCCTGCTGGTTTTTAACAAACTCTCAGTAATACACACACACATGCACAAACAAACACAGTCAGGGGACCTGATGTACAGTACATGTGCAATTTATATACACATGCAAACCTCCCCTTACACGTCACATAAGCAAAAATACACACGCTGCAATAGGCTTCCCCCAAAGGCACCACTAATGGTACAGCTGTGAGGATCCAATTAGCAAAACCGAAACAATTATCTGATTGATTCTTAAATCTAGTTGGCTTTGTAAAAGGTTTAGATCAATTTATGCTGAAAGGAGGAATGTAATGAGTTACTTAAGTAATCTTTTTACCGCTGTTGTCAGAGGAAAGTGTCTGGAAAACTGTCTCAGAGAGCCTCTTGGTTTCAAGAGACATAGCGAGGAGGCTGTTGTCTTCCACCACTGTGTATCCTGCAAGGAAAGCACACAAACTTAATACATTTTTGGCATAAAACCAGAACAGTTCACCACCTTGGAGTATTTAAATATTAAGACTGTGAAATAATGAATCCAGATAATAAAATACAAGATGCCATGAAACACTTTTAGATGTTTTAGAGAACACTCTCACTACAACAAACTCTAAAAATACCTACTGGGGTGCTTTCATACGAAAATATAATGAATTGTTTTCTCAGAATCATATTGGCAATTAAAGTGAGTGAAGTAATGCTGCTTGGGTGGTTCTATGCGATCATTAAGGTGTTCTAGGTAGTTTATAGGTGGTTCTCTATGATATTTTAGTCCTTAGATATGGTTCAGAGCCCTCCTTCAATGCAAGTACTATAGATCAAAAGTTTAGCGTCTGTATGATTTTTTTTAATTGCAGAAGTGTCTTATGCTCACCAAGGCTGCATTTATTTGAAAGAAAATAGCCACATTGTGAAATATTATTTCAATTTAAAGGGGTCATATGATGCGATTTCAAGTGTTGAAGCAGCCGTGTCAGGGAGACGCTGTGTGTTTCTAGGCGAAAGCAAAAACACTTTATTTGGCCTTCCAGAAGTAGATGCATTTAGGAATCTTTAAGATTACTTACAACAGAACAGCAATGCATTTTATAGATGACCGTTTCATGAACCTAGGAGAGGAGGTAATTCTGACTTTGGTAAGACAATCTGCCGCTCCTGAATCAGCTGCTGTTTTGTTATTAGTTTAAGTATTTGCTATTGACTGTTCAAATGCGGAGTTTTGCGCATCGTGTGTGTGTGTGCGTGCATGCGTGAGTGCGAGAGAGAGAGAGAGATCACAGTGGAGTCAGCTGTCTTAACCGTGGCTTGTGTACTGCACACATACCAGCTTCATCACTGTGTCTGTCACGCGACTCTGTTCCCCTTTCGGGCTCTGTCTTTACATTTATTTTGAAAGCTGAAGCTCGCGATTATGGTACGGGGCGTTACATTTCCGACGAGTGCTTGCGGTGTTCGGCCAATCACAATGCACTGGGTCAGCTGGCCAATCAGAGCAGACTGCGCTTGTCAGAAGGAGGGACTTTGTAGAAAACGTAGCGTTTGAGAGAGGCGGGGCATAGAGGACTTACAATAATGTACAGTATTTGAAAAATAATGTGTTTTTTGAACATTAAAACATGTCAACATATTCTGTTACACCAAATACACAAAATAATGATCTTTAAAAAAGCATCATATGACCCCTTTAAAAGAACCGTTTTCTGTTTAATAAGAATATATTTTGAAATGTAATTTATTCCTGTGATGCAAAGCTGAATTTTCAGCATCATTACTCCAGTCTTCAGAGTCACATGATCCTTCAGAAATCATTCTAATATACTGTTTTGCTGCTAAGGAAACATTTCTTAATATCAGTGTTGAAAACAGCTGTGCTGAATAAGTTTGCAGGTTTTTTTTTTTTTTTTGAGGAACATAAAGTTACAATACAAACATCTAGGACAAATTCCACAGACAAGGAATTCAAACAATCCCATAATCCAAAGTATGAACAATAATAACAGTCATATTTGACATAATACGGCAAACTATAACAATGTTCACTAAGGTGCATTTATACATAAACAATTCTTGTTTTTTGACACAATTGTATTAGCAATTAAAATCTTTCTTTCTGTTTTACAGCCACAAACGGCTTGTTATGAGAAAAATATTAATTCTACTCACTGGAAGGGTCACTTGTGCTGTGAATGGTCACCTTTGGGACACCCGGGCCTGAAAAAGTATAACAGAGATGAGAAACATCAATCTATTTTTATCTACCTAAGTGTGTTTACATTTGTGCGTGAGAGACGGTGTGATCTTACCCAAGCAATAGAGGGTAAAGTATGTCTGATTGGGGCTGAAGTCTGCTTTGAAGACACTGCATCGCTCAAACAGGTTGCATGTCAGACACTGGCGATGAAACACTCCTCCGAGCTCCACACTAGTCAACAAGCATGCATTTCATTATTTCACAATTCATCATCAATGTTAATGCTATCGACGACAATCAAACTACTCTGACACTTAAAGTACTCTGACAATTAAAGTAATAGCTTATACAAATAAACACTCATAATCTAGTCAATCTCATGCCTTTCCAAACCTATCTGGCCTTCTTCTGTGAAACCAAAATAAAACATTTTTAATAATGTTCATGCTACGTATAGTAATCAGGACTGTCAAAATGAGATTTAACAGCTAAACATAAAAATAAACTTTTTGGCTCTTGACAGCCCACTGTACTGTATAAAAAAAGCATTGTGAACACTGAAATGTCTCTTTTTGTATTTCGTAGAAGTCAGTCAGTCATAAAGAATGACATGGGAAAGAGTTTTCAGAATTTACACTAGCGTTCAAAAGTTTGGTTAGAAGTCTCATATGATCATCAAGACTGCATTTATTTGATCAATAATACAAAAAAAAAATGATAAACAGAATAATAGTGTCAAATATTACCATTTAAAATAATTGTTTTCTATTTTAATATATTTCAAAATGCTATTTATACCTGTGATGGCAAAGCTGAATTTTCAGCATCATTACTCCAGTCTTCAGTGTCACATGATCCTTCAGAAATCATTCTAATATGCTGATTTGCTGCTTAAGCATTAAGCATAACATTGCAAACAGTTGTGCTGCTTAATACTTCTGTGGAAACTGATCCATTTTTTAAGGATTCTTTGATGAATATAAAGTTCAAAAGAATTTATTTGAAAACAAAAGTAACATTATAAATGTCTTTACTGTCATTTTGATTAAATTAATGCATCCTTGATTAATAAAAATGAACTTATTTAAATAAATAAACAATAGTGTTCATTTCTGGCTGAACTGTCCCTATAAATTCCAGTGCATTATACACACACACACACATGCTGAGCTTGTTTTCCACTATCCACTTGCATTAAGCCCAATGCTGGACCTTTGCACTTTCACCATATTGCTTGGATAGTCGCAATAAAAAATCTATGAGAACTTGTGGCCCACAGAGAGCAAGTGAGAGTCTTAAAGCATTAATCAAAGGTTAGAGAACACCCTTTAAATCGCTGTGAGGCACAGTACCTTCCCCTCTGCCCATCTCCTTTTCAACCTTCTCTATCTCTCTCTGCCTCTCGCGTTCTCTCTCTCTCTCTCTCTCTCTCTAAGCTGCCGTTCCTGTTTAAATGAATTAGCCGGGCTTCTTGCCTGGAGCTCACTAGAGGGGAAAAATGTCTATTGGCTTTTCACAAATGTCCCCGAAATGCATCTCAGATGTAGAGTAGAAAGATTTAATTGATTACAACACAAGTCATCAATGAACATACATACTCAGAAATTGGAACTTCAATGCAGATGCAGAATATCAACATGTAATGAGGACACGGACGTCCAAAATCCACGAACATATTGAGAAAATGAAATATCTCACAACACAACAGGATATGCAAATGCTGTCAGCATGAGAGGTACAGAATTCCTAGACAGTGATGATAAAATACTCAATTACAGCTTAAAAGACGTATCCGATTGGGACAGAACCTACCTGTGTAAGTGTCTGCTCTGCTGCGACTCCTCCGTACTCAGAAAATAGCTACAGGGGAAAGACACATTAAGTACATCTGAAAAGGTTTTTGAGTTACTATTTGTAGACAGTCATTTATGCTCTTATAATAGAGGCTACCTCCACATACTACCTTCGTACAGCTGCATACTAAGTAGGTTTGTAGCGGTTACACATGCAAAGTAGGGAAGTCAGTGTTATGCATTCATTTCTGTCAGTACCAGATTAATTGTAAGTCATCGTTTTGCGGGCCTAAACTTTGATTTGAGCTATAGATCTGACGTCTTATAAATATTCATGCATTGAAAAGATGACAAAAAAATATTTTTCTGTAAAGCTATGACTTCTGGGATGTTTTTTCAAGAGGGTTTGTTTTACGCGGTTGCAATTAGAGAACAAAGCCGGAGAGAAAATGACAGAGTCGTTACAGCCAATTCAAAATTAAAGTACTGTATTAATTTTAATTAAGTGCCATCTTTGCTAAATGGGATCGCTAGGCGTAAATAATTCAATAATTACTCATATTAGGTAGTTCGGTTGACTATGGGATGCTTTACGACACAGTCTTGAGGCTTTCGAGTTGAAATGGTTTGCTCATATTGGCAGGCAGGATGAGGTAAAACAGAGAACCATCTGCCGTGAACAACGGCTCCTCCTGTAGGACAAGCCACCATCAATATACTTTCCTCTAACAGATCAAGGAGAGACGAGACCATTTTGATGCATGATTTTCATTTCCGTCCGAGGTGGATGCAGCTTTTAGGAACCGAGGAATGCAGCCTGAGAATTGATTACATGCCCCCCTGGAGAGAGTGAAAGAGAGAGAGCGAGAGGCTGAACTTACCTGCCGCTGGTTGTTGTGCCAGAAGTCCATCGCCATTTGGTGCCTCTGAAGATTAAAGATGTTTTAACAGGATTAGACATGTCATATATTATAAGTAAAATATGTGTTTAAATCATTTGTTCTCTTCTGCCTGCCAGGGAGAGTTGTACATCATAACAAACTCCACGGCTAACGCCGAGTTTCAGTCTATCCGTCATTCTCATTGGCATCACATTAAGGAAGTGCATGTTTCATTTTTATCTGCAGTTTAGATATGCTGTCAGGAAAATCTAGAGTTCCACATCTGTTCCATTAGGCTGCTCTTAAGTGAACTTTATTTAAGATATAAGCAACATATTTCCTCTATTTTTACATTTAGATTACTTTTGCCATCAAATATCCATTTTTCATATTGTACGTTATAATTTTGTTCTGCCTAAATTAGCTTGTAGCATTTAATTTATATATTTTTATTTTTAATTATTTAGACAAAATAATATCGAATTTTAATATCAACCATTATATTGGTTATGGGCCAGAACATGGAAATAATTATCAGCTTGTCTTACCATCCAGAAATTTAAAGTGCATTGCTTGTTAAGTAAATAAGTGTAACAGTGACTGCCCACATATCCAGTGGCTAAAGTTTCTGAACTGTTTTCACATTCATTTTTTCATTCATATTTTATTCAGCAAGGGCGTACGTATTAAATTGATCAAAATTGACAGTAATGGCATTTATAAAGATTTCGGTTTCAAATAAATGCCTTTGAACTTTCTATTCATAAGTGAATCTTTAAAAAAAATAACATTCTATATATATATTTTTTTTTTAAAGTGTTTCCACAAAAATATTAAACAGTGAAACTGTTTCAAGATTTTTATTCAGCAAGGGCGTACGTATTAAATTGATCAAAATTGACAGTAATGGCATTTATAAAGATTTCTGTTTCAAATAAATGCCTTTGAACTTTCTATTCATAAGTGAATCTTTAAAAAAAATAACATTCTATATATATATATATATATATATATATTAAAAAAAAGAAGAAATGTCTCTTGAGCACCAAATCAACATATTAGAATGATTTCTGAAAGATCATGTGACTCTGAAGAACAGCAGAGTATATACATTTCTGTATATAATATTATATGTAACAAAGTTATTAAATATTTGTATATATTTGAATATTAAGTCATTTGTGTGGAGACAAATTTTTTTAATTAAACTGAAATCCTTTAATAAAAAAATGATGCCATCAACAGAATCATCCATCATCGCTTATCAACCTTAGAGCACATAGTCTTGAGAGGTTTATACATTATTGCTAAAAATCCATTTCTCGATGGAGAAAATGAATGGGATTTGCACTTTCAGAACACGACAGTTGCACTCTGTTGTGTATTTCAGCACAGCTCCCAATGCCTCCAATTATAAAGCACTGTTGACAGATTTGTCAACACACAGAGTGTAGAAATCAAACAAGGACTGCACATCTGTCTGACGCAGACACTCCTGTGCACATGCATTCAATCGCTCACTAGCACATACATAAAAAGGCAGTGACCTTTAGGTGTTAAGACCAGCTACACATTACAACTGAGGCTGAAAAGTAAAGCCGAGTTAGTCTTTCACGCCTCCAGAAGGAAATTATAGGCTGAGTCGGCAGAATAAAAGTAAGAGATTCTCTGCATGTTCTGAGCAGAATATAAAATGAGAAGCGAATCGATGGACACTTTTCAGTTAAAGATACCCAGTGGGCTGTCAGCTACACATTACAACTGAGGCTTAAAAGTAAAGCCGAGTAAGTCTTTAACGCCTCCAGAAGGAAATTATAGGCTGAATAAAAGTAAGAGATTCTCTGCATGTTCTGAGCAGAATATAAAATGAGAAGCGAATCGATGGACACTTTTCAGTTAAAGATACCCAGTGGGCTGCAGTGGATGAGCTGGTAACCCCTTACCTCCGAGCAGGCTCCTGTCGTGGCCTCACACACACACAGCACAGACTGGTTCTGGACCCGATTCAACCAGCGCACAGTCAGACGAGTGCTGCTTATCCAGCTCACCATAGAGATGTAGCTATCTCTAGAGAAAGATGAGTAAGAAAGACAAAAAGAAAGAGAAGGAGAGAGTGTACAGTGCATTCAGAATCACTACTTAGATTATTTATTAAGATACTATCTTGAAAATATAAATTTAAATAGGAATGTAGACACTCCCATATAGGGTTATTATACAACCCCAATTCCAGAAAAGTTGGGACGTTTGGTGAAATGCCATAAAATCAAGAATATGTTATTTGTTCATTCCTCTTTAACCTTTATTTAATTGACTAAAGTACAAAGAAAAAAAATCCAATGTTTTCACTGGCCAACTTAATTTCATTTTGTAAATATAAACAAATTTTGATTTTAATGGCTGCAACACACTCCAAAAAAGTTGGGACACATCAACTTTCCTTTTAATTATAGTGTTTAGGAGTTTGTTTGGGAATTGAGGATACTAATTCATAAAAGTTTAGTAAGCAAAAATTTTGTCCAATCTCACTTGATACAAGACTTCAGATGCTCAGCAGTCTGTGATCGTCATTGTCTGATACTCCTTTTCATGACTGGTCATACATTTCCAATAGGAGGACTGCAGGCTGCTCTGCTGCACCCTCATACCATGACAGACGTTTGCTTTTGCATCTGTCACTGGTGAAATTCTGGATGGTCCCTTTGGTCTTTGGGACTGAGGACTCGACTTCCATTTTTCCCAGAAATAACTTGAAATGTGGACACAGCACACATTTCCATTGTCTCATTATCTTAGATGAGCTCGGGCCCAGAGAACCCCCGCGGCATCACTGCATAGAATTGATGTATAGCTTTCTCCTAAAGTAACAAGTAAAGAGTCAAGTTGCATTTACTGATGCATCGGCAGACTGTTAAGTGACCAGTGGTTTTCCAAAGTACTCCGGAGCTCATGTGGCTATATTTAACACCGCAGCATGACGGTTTCTTATGCAGTTCTCAAAGGTCACACACATTCAACTGAGGTTTCCTGCCTTTCCCTACACAGACTAAGATTTCTCTGGATTCCCCGAATCTTTTCACAATATTATGTATGGTAGTTGGTGAAAGACCTAAATTCTTTGTGATTTTACATTGAGAAATGTGATTTTTCCAGCTTTGCTTGCAATGATACATCACATACTACAAATTCACCGGCATACTGTGAACTACTTCAAAACGGTTTAATTTTAATATTCTATAACCTTTTCACTTTTATTTTGCCTCTGTCCCAAAATAGATAAAAAATTGATTTACATTTTTTTTAAATATTTAATTGAATACAACAGTATTTTAAAATATAAAAAGGTCAGTGTAAATAAAAATAGATTATTTTATCTAACATTTATGTGTGCAACAGTTTGTTTTTTTATAAGGATATAGTGCATTAATACATAAACAGAATTTTATTTTTTGTGTCAACTACAGTACAATTTAAAAGGGATAGTCCACCCAAACATGAACATTTTGATGACTTACTTTCTTCTGTGGAACACCCAAAAAAAATTCTGAAGTATGTTTGTACCCAAATGGTTTCTGGTCCCATTGCCTTTCTATAGTATGGACAAAAATACCATGGAAGCGAATGGGACCCAAAACTACGTGGTTACCAAGTGTATTGTGTTGTTAGCTTAGAATCATGCAAAGTGAAGACATATTGATATATTGTAAATTTTTAGAACACAATTACAAGACTTTTTGAAACCGCTATTTTGGCTCATGTAAGTACTTTAATGTTCAGCTAGTAAATGTTCCATATTTAGTTGGTTAAATTCCTTTTATTATATTTACATTTAGTCACCTATCAGAAGCTTTTATCCTAATCAACTTGAAATGAGGAACATTACAAGCAATATTACAGCCTTGCTTTATGTTTGTTAACATAACATTTGTTGTTTGTGATGTTTAATGCTACTATTCTGGCCAGATCTCTGTAGCAAAATTAGACTTTAAGCACAAGGGACTCACCTTGGAAAAAATGTTTAATAAAATCATGCTCTGGGGATGATTTTTCACCAGGAGGAACTGGAAAGCCGATTGCAATCAAGGACAAAATTCAGCCTGAAAGCTATGCTTGGAGTGAAGATTCATTTTCCAGCATGACAAAGACTCAAAGCACAGCAAAAAAAATAAAGAATGGCTTAAATACAGAAGGTTGGTATTCTGGAGTGGCACAGCCTGAGCCCAGACTTGAATCCAATTGAAAATCAGCAGTAAGACCTGAAATTGCTGTCCACCAGCATTCTCCATCTAATCTGGTAGAGCAGAAGCATATTTGCGCTGAAGAATGGCCAGTAATTCTACAATCTAAATGCGGAAAGCTCACACCGACAAACCTGAGATGATGCAGGTTGTACTTTTTGCTACAGGACTATGGGACTGTACAAAGAACTGAGGGGGTTGGGGACAACATAAAAAAAATCATCATTGCAAATGTAATAAAATCTTCAGTGAGTAACATCAAACCACTCTTAATAATCCATTGCACGATGTTGCCCAACAACCCCATTTTCTTCAGTTTGCAAATGCATGATGCTTAACTAGTTGCTTATTAGCATGCATATTACTAGAATATTAGCCATTTATTAGTACTAATTAAGCATATATTAATGCCTTATTCTACATGACCTTATTCTACATCCCTAATCCTACCCAATACCGAAACCTAACAACTACCTTACTAACTATTAATTAGGAATTTATTGAGGGAAAAGTCGTAGTTAATAGTGAATAATTGTTCCCTATTCTAAAGTGTTACCATTCACATTTGTTAGAGACTAAACTTGATTTTAGAGTCATAAATTATTTGCATATCATGAAGAATTGCTTAAATGTGTTTGTTGCCTACAACCAACACAGCGACAGTGAAATGAATACAAATCATTTGCAATTTTTTTAACATTATAAATGTTTTTGTTTAATAATACATGCAATAGTCAGTTAAGACACATTTCACCTTTTTTTTAAAGGATATAAAAAATTAACACGTCTATATCCACAGCCTGTGCACTGCATATGCGTACTTGTGGACACACGATAATTAAAGACAAACTTCACCTGCTGTTCTGGGAGTCTGGAGGAATCATCTCTAATGTGTGTGCTGGACCGTATAAATTCACCACAAACAGACTGGCTGATGGGATTCTGGAACCCGCCTGTACAGAGCAAATACATTTAACATCATCAAACCAAAAAATAAATGCTCTTGCAGTCAGTAAATAGTGCATATATTTGCATTAATTATTCAATATAAACTTTAACTGTGATATTGGATTCATTTTGAGGCTTTTTCATCTTGTAAAACAAAATAGTTGGCTGTATGTCTACTGTTCTTACCTTTGGATAGGGGTAGAGGACATTAGAAGGGTAGATCCCACCCAGGAAGTGATGTATCTCCATAAAAGGAGTTGCTGTGTTGTTAATAGACAGATATGCCAGGCGTGCGCTGTCTTTGGCCCACCAGAATGCAGGATATTTCAGCAGTATCTCCTCTAAATTTTAATAAGGTGAGACAGAAATGAAATTTTGATGAGGCTAATTAACCCATACGTAGACCTATGCAAAAGGAATTAATAATTTTTTTTTCTGCAAGGTCGCATTAAATTGATCAAAAGGATGCTTTAAATAGATCACAGTTACAAAAGATTTCTATTTCAAATAAATGCTGTTCTTCAATTCATCAAAGAATCCTGAAAAAATTTTTATTAAGCAGCATAACTGTTTTTAATATAGATAATAAAAAAAAAATTCTTGAGCACCAAATCAGCATATTAGAATGATTTCTGAAGATCATGCAGCAATTTAATTATTTATTGTCATCACAGGAATAAATTATATTTTATATTATAATAATATTTCACAATACTGTTTTTACTGTATTTTGACATTTTTCTTTAAATGCAGCATTGGTAAGCATAAGAGACTTCTTTCAAAAATATTTAAATCTTACCGACCCCAAGCTTTTGAACAGTACTGTATCTCAATATTAAAATGACAGCCATACGATTGGACGGCAGGTGAAAGTTGGAATCTCAAAGTGCCTAGTTCTGAGTTTTAGCACAATCCTTTTTACAGTCAAAATTATCTTTTTGCAAGGATTCTCAAAATAATATCCATTCAGTAAACATTGGAAGAAATGTTGCTAACGTGGGAATCTGCATCATTGTGACACTGGCATATTAATCGTTCTAATTTGCTCAATAACACTGAGCACGGTACTGATGCCCACACAATTCTCAGTGCCAAAAGTGCAAGATCTGCCCTAGTTTGCCTTCCCGCCCGCCTTTTTTCCTATCGTTCTGTTCTCTTCTCTCTGTAGTGTTGATTCTGACTGTAAAATCTTTTGATTCATGTTCATCACAACAAGTCTTCCTCTGCGCTTTCAGTCTCAGGTTGCCCTGGTTCACATGATGCGTACCTCTTCATTTCGAAATCTCCTCTAACTTTGACTTCCGTCCTCCTTGACTGTGACTTAAAAGGGATAGTCCACCAAAAAAAAGAAATATCTGTCATCATTTACTCAACTTCATGTCATTCGAAATCTGATTGACTAACTTTTTAAGTTTTTTTCCAGTTGACAGGTACTTTTTCTATGTAATCACAATGGCTTAGGCTCTTAAGATTGGAATAAAGGTATAAATGTAACATAAAAGTCAAGTCAAATTCATTTATGTAGCAGTTTTCACAATAGTGTTTCAAAGCAGCTTTACAGAAATCATGATGTTAATGTTTATAATATCTTATATCTTCATGCCTTACACTCTAAAAAACGCTGGGTTAAACTCAGCTATTGGTTTGTTTTGATCCAGCGGTTGGGTTGAGTCAAAACAACCCAATAGCTGGGTTTGTCCCTTTTTAACCCAGTGCTGGGTTATATTTAACCCAGCATTTTTTAGAGTGTATAGTCGCATTTAGATAATATAGTATACATTTTGTAATGATACAAGCAATAATAGATTTGTTATACACTATATACTGCTTTATGTGAGTGTATTGAATGTACGCAAGCAAAGTAGGATGTACTATATCCAACTTTTAACATATCACTGGGTGATAAAAAGAAGATGGTCATATACAACTATGTGAAGTGTTTTGAAGTCTTAAGACAGCTTTGTGTAAGAAACAGACCAAAATTTACGATGTTATTTACTGATCATGCTCCCCTCCAGTGAGCTGTTAACCACTGTGACATCGAGTCAGTGAGAATTTGAGAATCAAATCAGTCTGATTCATGAATGAATCATTCAGGGATTTGTTTCCCAAAAGCATTTTAACGCCTAAGTAGATCAAAGTGACCGTTGGTGCCAACAGTTTGTATGATCTACTGCTTTTGGGAAACCCAGCTCACACCAGTCTTGTGAACCAGATCGACAGATTCATTAACAAGATCTGACTCGGAAGCCATTCACAAATCAGATATTGCTATTTCTTTAATGAACTCTTATGAATGTTCCAAGATTCAGCAATCAAGGTGTTTAGTAAATAATGACTTTTGGTCGGTTTCTTACACAAAAGCTATCATATGACTACAGGTGACTTGGAATAAAGGGTACGAGTCTTGTGAAAAATGTCTATGATGCTTTTGCGTCCTTTTAGAAGTTCAAAAGCCTTTTTTGTGTTCTACAGAAGAAAGAAAGTCATATAGGACTGGAATGACATGTGGGTGAGTAAATGATGACAGATATCATTTTTTTGGCTGAATTATTCTTACATTCTACATTTCCTATATCTAAGTGTCTCTGTAGCTTTTGATTTCGCTCAGACTATCCTTTATACTGTCTTTTGCAATTTCTATTTCACTCTTTCAATATATATTTCCTTTTCCTTCACAACACTCACCTTCTTTCCCTTCCTTTCCTTTTTCCATTTTCTTCCTTCCTTTGCAATTTCACCTTTTATATTTTCCTATCTCCCTCTTTCCCTCTCTCCCAGTTTCCTTTCTAATCTCTCCGCACACATTCACACATCCCATTCATCCCATCTCTATGATTGATTTCGATTGGCCAGCATGATCTAAGGGCGACTGCAGATCACATCATTTTTATCCTCGTCTTCTTCAGTCGCTGTAACCCCCTCCCCTCCCTCCCTGTGTGATTTCTGTGCTGCTTTCAGTTCAGTTACTTGAGCTGCAAACTGCCTCAGTCAGCACATATTCTCTAGAGAAAGCTGAAAAGGGGGGGGCGGGGGATGAGAGACAGCGATTGTGACTAGAGCAGGTGGAGAACTAACTGAGAAATCCTGTGTTTCCCTGCAGACGTGACCACATAGATTGGCATCATTTATCCTGTGAGATAGGAAGCAACATCAAAAGAAAGGAATTCAACATACGTCATTCACCAGATTGCACGGTGCACAATACAGAATTCATTTTAATCAGCAACAAAAAGCAATATTCACAAGAGACGTCAAGAGAGAGTGCAAGTGCAATTCAGGAGAAAAAGAATATGGATTGTACTGTCAGTGTTTTCACTCATTGCCTGTTTTTCCCTCTTTTTTACCCTGTATTGGCATCATTTATCCTGTGAGATAGGAAGCAACATCAAAAGAAAGGAATTCAACATACGTTATTCACCAGATTGCACGGTGCACAATACAGAATTCATTTTAATCAGCAACAAAAAGCAATATTCACAAGCGACGTCAAGAGAGAGTGCAAGTGCAATTCAGGAGAAAAAGAATATGGATTGTACTGTCAGTGTTTTCACTCATTGCCTGTTTTTCCCTCTTTTTTACCCTGTTTTTTTCTCTGTTACTCATGTCTACACCCTGTTTCGTCATCCTCCTTTGAGAAGAGAGAACACTGCTGCAGAGATGATTATTTTCTGAAGTGGAGGTTCAGCAGGCGGATTATAACTACAGATTGCTGTGGTTGCTCAGACAAATAGCCTACAAGTTGTTTATTTTCAGCCTGTTACTAAAACCTGCTGTAATCACAAAGGCTTGCCCCAGTGTGATGCTCATTACAATTCAGTACCAAGCAGCTCCTCTTCTCAGTTTCCATCTCTCCCACTGCCTGTCTGTATCCCTCCTTCTTTCTTTCTATACAGCCCATATCCTCTGTCTCAGAATATTCTATTCCTACCATGTTTGCTGTTGATCATAGCAACGTTCAGTGATGAACATGCTGCAGAAATTATGGACAACATAAGTGGTCTCTCCTGCTAGTCTGAAAAGATTTTGTCCAGTCCAATAGATAAAAGATGTAGTTCACTCTTGTAACAATAGCTAACAGCGCTTGTACCATCAATACGTGCACAGCATCTGTCAGGTTTTGCTATCTCTGTGTGGACCAAATGTGCCCAAAGTACATAGTGGGAATCTATCTTGTAATACTATACAAGGAAAATGACGGGGACTAAATAATGTCTAATTTACACATGTAAAATCCAAAGTTTTTTATTTTAGGGCTAGGGTTAGTCTATATACTTAAAAAAAAATTGGAGTAGGATAAAAAACAAATTTGATTCATGTAGTTCACTCTTGTAACAATAGCTAACAGCGCTTGTACCATCAATACGTGCACAGCATCTGTCAGGTTTAGCTATCTCTGTGTGGACCAAATGTGCCCAAAGTACATAGTGGGAATCTATCTTGTAATACCTACAAGGAAAATGACGGGGACTAAATAATGTCTAATTTAGACATGTAAAATCCAAAGTTTTTTATTTTAGGGCTAGGGTTAGTCTATATACTTTAAAAAAAATTGGAGTAGGATAAAAAACAAATTTGATTTAGAAATTGCTAGTAAATTTCACAAATAATTAAATTAAGAAATGTCAAGTAACACACTGAATTAAAGGTGAAACTGAAGTACCGAACGAGTATTTTTTTTTTGTAAAGCATTATTTACAACTTTGACCCTCTTCGAAAACGTATAATATTAAGGTGATATCTTCGTCTAGATAATAAGATATTAAAAATAGCATTTCTGATGATCCTTTCGTAGCAATTCTTGCACGATAAAAGTGCATTTAGGTTCTTAAATATAATAAAATATGTGACATTTAAGGGACATGATTTCTCATATTTACATACAATAGGCAACACCTCAAACATCATTAAGTGATTTTCTCAAAATCGCTCTGTGGTCCAACTGGGATATGATTCTGCATGGTGATAGAAACAATAAAGAAAACAATAAAGAAATAAAGAACAATAAAGAAAAACAATAAAGCAATCATCTTTTTCTCTAACAGACAGGTAACGCAGAAATGAGACAGCTTCTTGATGTTTTTCTGTTCATATTACTCACATGGTGGATATTATAAGCCATCAGGATGAACTTCTTATCAGCTGAAACCTGGAACCTCATGGACTTTAGATCCTAAAGCGAACAACAAAAAAGAATTTCAAAACAAATTAAGCTCTATCACACACATCTACAGCATGCTATAAGTTACCATAGACAATAATTTGTGTAAAAAAGCAAACATTGTATAGTGTATTCATAAATGGAAGACATTAATTATCAATTAGTTATTAAATAATTATACTATTTGGGGCTTACACATATTATGTGTATTCACATTTATCTTGGTGCAAAGTCTTACTCCCTAGTCTTCCATTATATTATTATATTGAGGCTTCTATATTTTGTGTTTTAACATTTATCTTGGCAAAATACCTACCTCCATAGACTTCCACTGTAAATGTATTAACTCAAATACAATTTTTATTTATTTTAGAAACATTTGTGTGGAAATCAATATGGCATTGAGCTCAACTCGTATTCTTCCCTCTAAAAAAACCCATCAGCCTCAAACCATGATTGAGGTAAGTGCATTGAGGGTAGATGTCGTTGGGGCATAAAGCCAATGTGACGAGTGTACAGTAACAGTGTTGACAGTGTGGGGAGGAGAAGTATCTGCCATCTCAACAACACTTCATTGAGCATCTGAGGCAATGACCCATGTATGTTTCTCAGTGTCACCCAGCCGCAGCGTTCAAAGGGTGGCCCTGCTGAAACAGTCTCTTTGAAGACGCATGCTATGGGATTAACTGAGGAGAAGTGCAGAAAATGGGAAAAAAAGACAGAGCATTAACTGTCGAGCCTCTAAAGCCGAAAAGCTATTTTCTCTTTCTCTTTGCTCATTTTTTAGCATTCAGATTCTTTCTTCAAAGACGTTTAGCTACCAGTCCATACCCTCTCTCTTTCTATGAAGTGACCCATTTGTCAGGTTCCATGACAATGGAGCTAATGGAGTTGTATGTCTTGTCCTGCTCACATGCCTCAAGGGAGTAGTAATTCTCCAGAGAGCTGCTTTACACTGGCGGTTTGGGATGGGGAGAAGACTGTATGTATGTGTTTGCATGCCCTTTATTTACTATGTTGCTGTCTTTTATGTGAGTGCATGCATGTGTATGTATCCACTCACCAGGGTGCTGTTGTCCAATAACATGGTAGTTAGATTGGTGCTGAGATTGTGGATTAAAACATGACCCTCCCGTGTGCAAAGTGACACCTCGTTCTCTGTAAAACACAAAGATGAACATTCAATAGCTGAGCTCCAGACTGACCTGCACCTTGACTGCACCCTAATTTGCATATTCTGAATATGCACTAAGAGTATGTACTTCGCTGATGATGGAAAAGTACACTACCGTACCATGAATATTTTTATCCAACAAGGATGCATTAAATTGATCAAAAGTGACAGTAAAGACATTTACACTAATAAAAAAAATCTATTTCAAATAAACAGTAAATTTTAACTTTCTATTTGTCAAAGAAAAACAATGTATAACACTTTTAAAAAAGCATATTAAACAGCACAACCATTTTTAACATTGCTAGCAATAAGAAATGTTTCTTGAGTACCAAATCAGCATATTAGAATTATTTCTAAAGCATCATGTGACACTGAAGACTGGAGTAATGGCTGTGATGAAATGTAATGAAACAAATTGCATTTCAAAATATATTAAAATAGATAAGTTGTTTTAAATGATAATAATATTTCACAATATTACTGTATTTCTGATCAAATAAATGCAGCATTGGTAAGCATAAGAGACTCAAAAAAAATATATAATAATATATATATATATAACTAACCCCAAACATTTGAACAGTATTTTCAAGGAAATCACCCAACAAATGACTTACTTATAATAAATCAGTATTTTAAAATCAAAATATTACACATCATTCTTATACTGAAATACTGCTAAGGCAACTTTGACTTCACATTCCTATTTTACTACACAAACTTCTCCTCTTCCATACAGAAAGGTGTTGTGGGCAATATTAGCCCAAAAACATGCAAGAATGCACACTTTAAAGTTGAAGTAATATACCATTCAAGCACCTTAAAAATTCTGTTATCAATATAATAGAGTTTGGGATGCAGTAATCCAAATCTTGCATGCTATATAATAAAAACTGAATGTGAATTGAAAGGCAGCCTGAATGAATTCCGTAAAACAAACATTTTAACCATTAGCAGAAAAACACATTGGTCTCCTGTTGCACTACAAGACAATGAATTGTTGCACTCCAGGAGCCCGAAATGAATGAACTTAAACCATTCCCTTAAACACAGTTTGTACAATAGGAGTTTTCACCATTTAGCCATGTCGCACATGGGTCATGAACTCGGAAATCTTCGCTCTCCAAGTTCTCTAGAGTGAGACGAGACAGCAGCAGGAGGTGAGACTCATCTGAAATACAAAAAAATGAGAAGCTAATTGAGTCTCATAATTCTGTTGTGTCTTAATTTACACTGAATGGTGCCTCATTTCACCTAAAACAGCTTTATGTACATGAAAGTGTGTGTGGGGGGGTGTCATTTTCTGCTATGCGGGGGACGAGGTTGGCGTTTTAGGGCTTGGACGCATGCAGAGACGCCTTCTCGACTGTTTTTCGAAACTGAATCTACTGCAGCAAAAGCGAATGGATGAGACGAGCAAGAGTTTTCTTACAAAACAGTATATTAGATGTGTTTTCAGCTCCCAGAATGCCTCGGTGACAGCCAAGGCTGAAGCAAAAAGCTACAGCGGTGTATCTGACGGCCAGGTTGGGACGGTTACGAGACCATCCGTCATAATCAAGAACAATAAACAGCCACTTCAAGGCTAGTGGAAAATCACTACTGGTGGCAGAGAGGGGGGACCATGGAGTAAGTGTTTACTCATTGACTGTCCATGAAACTTAGTCTTCATTATCTCTGTGTCTTATGTTTGTGGTTTCAAAGGGAGAAGCGAAGCCACCACTTCTCACCTTCCCTCAGGGGTAAAGGTGAATGAGTGATCTGTGTTAGTAGAGAAAGTGGGGGGGGGGATAAAACTCATAACTTAACCAGCCGGCATCCAGTCAGACTCCTTAACCTCAGCTGTCTCAGAACAAAAAGAGCACAGTGAGAGCGACTGCCTGCTATTTCTTACCTAAACACCTTCTGACTGGCTGGTAGCTCTGTACTGCAGTAGGTCTAAAAGCTGATGTGAATGTTTATTTTGACTTTTACATCGAGACATTTTTTTAAGGACAATCTCAACTTCCGTTTCATGCCGACTTTAAAACTGTAGTATGCTACAGTGTCACATGACCTCATCACTTTTCATGTTTAAAACTTCTGGTTCATTCATCACACTGGAAAGGGAAGGTCAAGTTGAGCGTATTGCATTGTGGGATACAGTATTCCATGCAGTATACTCTATATACAGTATTGACAATTTTGGTTAATACAGTTAGTCGTCTGAACGTTCTATGGCTGAATTCAGAATAGCACACTAGCATACTACTCTTACTATTTCAGTCGTATCTTTTACATGGTAGAAATATTAAAATTAGTATGCAAGTATGCTATTCCAAAATCAGTATTTGCATACTGTGCAATGCATACCATTTCACAAACTATTTTTAGTAGGCAGTATTTAGTGTACACTGTGCAGTATAAGCAGCACACTAGTATTGTAGTATGTTTGGAAAACCTGTTTGGAAACAGTTATTAGAGGCACAAATATAGCTTTCACAAACTTCAATATTAAAGTGCTGAATATTTTCAAACTTATACAAAAGGAAAATAGCAGGTCTGTTTCTGTGGCCTAAATTCACAGCTTCAGAAAGTCTAATTAGAACCTCTTGGAAGAGTTCTTGGATGCCGTTCATTGTTGTGAAACAAAAATATAACTTCAAAAGCTTTAGAGGTTGCCAGCATGGATTCTAGCCAGAGGCTCATTATTAATAGATCTTACTGGCTGCTGCACACAATTAAAACATCTGCTGATAGTGTCTGATAAATCTATCTGCACTCGTGCAGTAGAGGGAAAAAATCACAACACAACTGGCCTCTTTTCAGATTCCACAAATCTATAATACTTGCGCTTCAGAAAGTCATTCCCCACAGTCAGCTCAAGGCTGAATTTACTCATTATGTGAACCAATAATGGTCTCAGATCAGGGTAAAACACTGGAAAAAAAATAAACTTCTTGTTTTCCAATGAAAATGTACCGTTCAAAAGTTTGGGGTCATTGAGCTTGCTAATTTTTTTATTTTAAAGAAATGTATTCTTTTATTCAGCAAAGACGCATTTGATAAAGAGTGATTGCAAAACCGCATAAAAAAGTCTTACAAAAATGTATCTTGGATTAAGCCTATTTTTCTATTTTTCCTATTTTTTATTATTAAGCATAAATGTGACATAATTTAGTAAGGTCAAACACAATTTGCACAGTTGGGTAGGAAAAATAAACTGGAAAACAAGACAAAATACTGATTAAGCTAATGTTGATTTTGCTTTATAAACTTGTGACCCACTCACACACCCCTATATAGTTATGGTGGCAGCTACAACAACACAATTAATGCAATTTGTTCACACTGTTGAGTACAAGACTGACACTGTTTTCCTTTCAAATGTGTCTCTCTCATTAAGGGCCGAGAGCCCAGTACTTTCTGTGTTAAAGCTTCATCAGCTCAGTTCCCACAGGTCCCCTGAGCTCTGAAATGATACTGCACTCCCAATTAGTACGGCTGTTTTGGGAAACAGGGGAGAACCCTGCATTACAGATGAGAGAGTATAATCAGACTTGTATGTTAATGCATGTTATATTGGGAGAGAATTCCCCATCTGGGGGATGCAGTGCTGTCTTAACCTCCAGATAAGTGATAGATATGACCAATTTTAAAGATAACAGTTAATCACAATAACAATAACAAAAAATATATTAAAATTCAGCCAAACTACTACTATTCTGTATTTAATTAAATTTTATGGCACTGCCTTTTTTGGATAATCAAGTGAATGAGAGAAAAAGGACAGCAACGCAGCTGAAACATTTAAGGCCCTGAAAGGTAGTAGGACATTGTTAAAATATCAGTGGTTCAACTGTAATTGTATGAAGCTACGAGAATAATTTTGTGTGCAAAGAAAACAAAAATAACGACTTTTTTCAACAATTTCTTTTCATCCGTGTAAGTCTTCGACGTGTGTTCACGAGAGTACCATGACGCATGCATGTGATGCTGCTGACGAAGGAGCCACAGGAAAAAGGACTATTTTAACAATGTCCTTACTACCTTTCTGAGCCTTAAAAGTGGTAGTTGCTTGCTGTCTATGCCGGGTCAGAAAGCTTTCGGATTTCATCCAAAATATCTTAATTTGTGTACCAAAGATGAACGAAGGTCTTACGAGTTTGGATGAGGGTGAGTAATTAATTTTTGGGTGAACTAACCCTTTAAATCAAATTGCATGATTCATTCTCTATATTATAGACAATGGTCTTTAAAACCCCATATTCCAGATCAAGAGTTTTATGATTCTGAGAGCCATAGTGAAAAGAGAGGTGACAAATAGAGCCATCGAGAAAAGTGACAGAGGCTGGCCTTCAAAAAACCTGGCACTGGTGTCAAAGTGACACATTTTCGGCCGGGCAGAGTCCCAAGCAGACAGATTTCTCATTGTATTCCACTCAAGCGCTCAGTTCACAGAGCAGCGCCTCTACAAAGCTGTCAGTCACATATATTGTGCCACTCCTGCAATGCAGAAAGCAAGGCTTTTACGTGGGCAACAATCTCATCACAGATGCTCCCGTGCTATAGGAGAGGAAAAGAAACATGTCTAGAGGTTCGATAATGTACATCACGTTAGAAAAATCTTAACGTACCAAACACCTCAGAACTAGCAGAGGAGATCGATACCAATGGAAGTGAGGGGAACTCCAGCGGGAAATAATTAACATCTCGCAGTTCTGAGAGCAGTGTTGTCATGTGTGAAGATTTTCCTAGTAGAAAACCAAAAACCTGGGTAGAAGGAAGGGTGACCTGTGATTCTTTGGGTTTATAAGAGGGCTTTTATTTTCCATTAACAGATACAGGTTTATCAATGGGAGTTGCTGACATCGATATCTAGTCAATATCAATAAAATGAGATGCAAACAAAACTGATGAAATGAAAACTTATTTAACATATACTTTGCGTAAGTTTTTTACCTTGAGTGTCAAATGGAGTGTTTTTCCCCTTGCAAACCTCTTTTATAAATTTGGTGAGCGGGTACGAAATTACGTGAAAAGCAATGGAGCAGTTCCAACTTTGCAAGGACAGTCTGGCGCTTCTGACTCACAGCCTGTAAGTACGTTTTTTATATTTAAAGAATTTGCCACTGACGATTCAAACGCAAGTTTTGAGCAGTGTAGAGTAGCGCTTGTTGTTTGTTGTTTCTCTGATCACAAATGCAGACATGGTTTTATGTTTACACGGCGCGATACGCAACGCATAAAAAGGACAGTATAAGTCATTATAATCAGTAATTATGTCCCCACTGGATGCAACAAATGCCTCGTTTATAATGGGTTTTAATGTTTTTGTCTTGTCGCGCCGGGACACGGCATCACAGTATGGTAAGTGCGTAACATTTCTGTCACATGCTTGAGGTATTCAGCCAATCACAACGCACTGGATAGCTGGCCAATCAGCATAAACCTCGCTTTTCAGAAAGATGAGCTTTGTAAAAATCGACGCGTTTCAGAAAGGCGGGGCAACAATAATTTACATTATGCGGAAAATAATGTGTTTTTTGAACCTTAAACCACATAAACACATTGCATTACACCAAATACACAACATAATGTTCTATTTAGCAACATCATATGACCCCTTTAATATACTAAAAAAATCTCCAACTCTAAATACTCTAAATAGTCCGCAGTCTTTAAAACCCCATATTCCAGATCAAGAGTTTTAACGTTTCTAAGAGCCTTTGTGAAAAGAGAGGTGACAAATAGAGCCATGGAGAAAAAGTGACAGAGGCTGGCCTTCAAAAAAAAAAACTGGCAGTGATGTCAGTGACACATTTTCGGCCGGGCAGAGTCCCAAACAGACAGATTTCTCATTGTATTCCACTCAAGCGCTCAGTACACAGAGCAGCGCCTCTACAAAGCTGTCAGTCACATATATTGTGCCACTCCTGCAATGCAGAAAGCAAGGCTTCCCGCGTGGGCTACAATCTCATCAGAGATGCTCCCGTGCAATAGGAGCGAAAGAAACATGTCTAGAGGTTCGATAATGTGCATCACGTTAGAAAAATCTTAACGTACCAAACCTCAGAACTAGCAGAGGAGATCGATACCAAGGGAAGTGAGGGAACTCCAGCGGGAAATAATTCATATGAGGGGAATGTGAGTGTTCTGAGAGCAATGTGGTAATGTGTGAAGATGTTCTGGTTGAAAGCAGAAACAAAACAAAAAAACCTGTGTAGACCGGTGACCAGTGATTCTTTGGGATTTTTATATGTTGCAGTAGCAGATAAGGGTTTATCAATGGGAGTTGCTGACATGGCTCCAGACTGCGACTAAGGCTGGGTGCTTTCACACTTTTGGTGCGCTCCCAGATTCGATTGACTTCAGAGTTCGATACGTTTGGATGATGTGAATGCTGTAAACAAACACGTATGTAAAATAAACTAATAAAAGACATCAAATTAGCAATATAACCAGTAGATGGCAGCAGAAGAGCACTTATTGGCTTATTAGTCATTCATTTCAGCTTTTTGCTTTATATTTTGAAATGATACAATTACTATTAGAAAATATCAAATCATCAAGAAATTAAATTGTCAACGTTTAGCTTTTTTTGTGTATGAAGTAAGAAAAGTCACAAAGTGCCTTGAAAAACAAGCTTCTCACTTTGCGACAGAATCACACGAAGAGCTCTCCTTTTACAATCACTGAAAGTGTTGGTCAGTTCCGTAAATAAATAAATAAAAAAGTACATTATCAACTAGGCTATTCATTTATTTTATTTTAACAGGTTGCCATTTCTTATGATCTGGATTCCATGAGAAAACTATTTTACAAGGTGCCAGCTGAAGTCTCAATACAATGTGATTCACAAAATTCCAATTCGCCAAATGTAAAATAGTTACATATTGCCATGAGCTTGTGGAATGCCAGAGACAGATTTAGAAAATGCTCAGAATGAAAATCATTTCAAATAACTGATCAGAATTGCTTTTGAACGTAAATGTTTTTGATCCTTAAAAATACAAACTTCGCAACAATCTCTAGCAATGAATGCTACTCCTGTCAGAAAAGGAGAAGTAAACACATACATCTCACTGATGTCTGAGTGTCTCACTTTACTGATGTTTGCCATTCCAGCTGAAAAACATGAAATGAAGCAACAGCGCAATTTTTCACTCTGCTCTCTATTCTGTCTGTTTCTGTGGGGACGGAGTAATTCATAAATGAGACTCATGGGAACTTCTGAACTGTGTTTGGCCTTGATGAAAAATCACTAAATCGCTAAATCACAGAGCTAATAAGATGCGTGTGAACTTCGCCTAATTCTGGAACATATTGTGGAGTCCTGCATGTTAAGCGAACTTGAAGGCAGTCTTTCAAAACCCAGGGGGCAAACAAATGACCTGCAATCCAGTAAATATCAGCTACGACTGGTAAATGGATGCATATGAAACGAATATTGACAAATCCATTACACTGGAGCCATACCATGTCTAATTGTGATGACTGATGCTGACTGAATGGATGGAGCCCTAGCCGATATCCATAAAATATACGTGCCCCTAACTGTGTTATTCTGTCATTGTGTTAGCTATTGATAAATAAGGAGCATTCAATTGCTGAATGTGTTTAAAATAGTTAGACACCATACTGAATGTCATATACTGACTGATAGTAAGCAGCATTGAACACAAATGGTTTGTTTTGCGGTACAAGGCTGTTTCAATTAGAAAACATCTCCAGGAGAAAAGGATGAAAAGTCCATTCACATTACTGACAGCAAGTCTTTCTTCTGTTTTGGAAGATTTTTTCAAACAACCCACATTAAGACAGACATAATTGAATCAACTCCAGCACCACACTGATTGCTGCCAGGAAATAATTGCTGTTTTTATGCCTAACATCTCACAC